AGGTCTTTCCCAACCTAAAAGATTCAACAATTCTCTCATCATAAGATTTCTTGGCTTGTGTTGCTCCTACAGGGATGCTACATCTGAACAAGCACAAGCAACTCCGTCTAGTGGCCTGTGGACAACACCACTGTGAAACAGGCACAGCATGCGACTAAGCACACACAGAGAGCTGCTTCTCCTCTCATGGTTCCCTGAGAAGCTGCTCTGGGCCGTCATTGACAGCGCCCAAACACTCGGTTTCAGTATCGTGCCCAAATATGACATTTACCCAGCTTGCATGGGAGTAACCACCACCATGCTTCCCATGACTACTTCTCTGCAAAAGCTTGCTCTGATTTGTTTGTACCAATTAAGGCTGATTCCCCTGGCATCCACACAGCTCCTCGGACAAAAGAACCAGGGAGGGAAGGAGCAGAAGTTACACATTTAATTTTACAACATGATTTTTGACTCTTACCTGCTAATGCCATAATTTTCACGAGTTGACCACGCTCGATTTTGTGATTCAAAATCCTTTGCTGTTCACTGGTCAGCTTTACTTCAGGACAGTTACTAAAACCAGGAAAACAGAGCAAAAGCAATGAAGAAAATAAATCCTCCCACATCAAATAAACAAATGGACTAACAGTGAAAGGAAAACAATGAATGATTTATCCCATCCCACGGGCAAGAAGGTGGCACTGGAGCAACTTGATTATTGTGCAGATGAGAAATGCAGGGAATAAGAAAAGATTGGAGACAGCAAAAATAAAAAAGGGAAGGTTTGAAAAGATCTTCTCAAGGGCCCTAAGCCATGCTTTAAAAATGAATTTGGCACCACGGCTCCTTAGGCTTATTGAAAACAAACAGCAACTTGGGTTTGGGGTGTTTTCTTGCTTTTGAGAGCATGTACCTTAAATTGCTCTCCGATTTCTCAGCATGTGGGACAGATCAATTATCCCTGCCTCTCAGGGGAGCTGCAAGCTTTGATTAACATTAAGAAAGGCATTCTGCGCTTCCGGCTGGAGGGCAATTGTTTTATTCATAAAGGTGTGAAACCTGTTATCAGCCAACAGTGCAAATCACCTCTTTGCACAGGGTCCTCCCCGACAGACCTCCTTTCACTCCCTCCTGTCCTTCCTTTCTAGGCACAAGCTACCAACCAACACTGACTTAGAACAGCTACATATACATAACAGTTAGCATATAACATAACAGTTATCCAACAGGATCTAGAAAACAGGAGCCAAATCAATATCCTGTGGCTGGCATCTCACTCCCTCCCCTGCACAGAAAGCAGTATTCATGAATGAACATCCACATCATCTGTGCTGCAGTCAGCAGCAAACCAGCCCCCCTTCTGGCTGACTGCAGCTTGCAGTGTTCTAGAGGAACATTCTCCCTTCCTTCGAGAGCTTCTCATCCACAAAGAGTGGTGATTTGGGTGGGTATTTTGGGGTGATTAGGGCTCTGTGAAATCCCAGTGGCCGTCAACACTGGAGCACAACTCCAGAGCTGTGTTCCACTGATACACAGACTCAGCAGTGAATAAAGACTTGTAAATTCAGTCAGCGCTTGGTAATTTGATTTCTACAGATTTAAGGCCTGATTCTGGTTTTCCTCTGTTAATTCAGGGAGAAGATGGCAAGGAGCAGAATAAGGTTTTGTGCTCATTCTTATGAACCTCAGAGTCTTGTCAACCAGACCCTGCCACGAATCATTTGCTCCCCCTCCAAGGTTCAGCATTCTGCCAGGGCCCTGCGTTAGGTCCATGGCTCAGATCACCTAAAACAGCATTACCTGGATTGTAAGTCTTGTGGGCAGCCCAAAGCCAGTGCTTCCTCTCCTGCTCTCTGCACAGTTACAGAAGAATTTTCCATCAGATACAAGCAGTAGAAAATATTGTAATGGATCCTGGTAGAAAGGACAAAAGAGAATCTATCACTGAGAAATCATCAATAACCAATTAAACATCTGTAGCCATCTAATAGACCGCCAACATCTTGAGTACTTCCAACAGAACAATGCACAGAGCCACATGCGCTCAGGGAGCTGCAGGAGACCATTAGTAAAGTGCAGTTAGTAACACCTTGAAAAGTGACTGCACAGGCACCACAGGGACAGGTCTGTTTGTGGCCTCTCCCTCGCCCCTGCCAGGCTTGTGTTTCAGGGTCTGCCACGCAAACATGACCTGGCATCAGAATCCACAGGATCCTTTTGCTTTCCTGAACCACTATCAGCAACAGTCTGAGGGAGCCTGAGAGAAAATTTGAGCTAGTTTAGGCCTCTAAAGTGAACCAGTTTCATCAACTGTCTTATGATGGTTTTATACAAGCCCTGACAATACTTCATGGTGCTTTGTTACTGCACAGAGAGGAGCACAACGGCTCTGCGACTTTAATTATGCCAGCAACAGCTGGTTTAAAATTAACCTCCATCGTACATCGGGGTTGACACCACTGTGGTTTTACCTTTTAGTGCAGTTTAGTTCCTCTGACCTACCAGCTGCCACCTTGAGCCAAACACCAGGACAGACTTTGTGTCTCATGAGGTGACACACACGCTCAGACTCACTAGTTGCTCTGTGAGCTACCAGACAGTTTCCTGAGGACACTTACCCTCCCTGTGCTCTAAATTACAAACCTTGTGTGGTTTGAAGACATAATGGTGGAAAAGATGTGGTCATTCCTATTTCTTCTAGTCTAGATTGGTCAAGGAGATGGGGAAGGGACGTGGGTGACTTTGACCTGATGGTTCTCATCGCAAACAAGCGAGCGACACCCTCTGTCCACCACATCTTCGGCAGGTGTTTACTCAAGTTGATGACCTTAGACAGCAATCACTAACAGGCCAAACGAGCATCCTGACTTCCCTGGTTGGTAGCCTGAGCACATGGTCCATGGTTAAGTAAGCAGAGGATGAACCATTCTCTCATGTCTAACACAAGCTGGATGATATCTCACAGAGGGCAGCTTACGGAACCATCTTCCTTCTGGTTATAGATTCATTTTCCAGTGCAGTTCCTTGCCCATCTTCTTATAAGAAGAACTTAACGTGTGTCCTTTATCCTTATCTCATCCTCACTGCAATTCTGAATCAACCTGTGGGCTCTTAGCTGCATCACCAGTTTCTATAGTTGCTTTAAAACCTGCTTTTGTTTCTGAAAACAATTCTTTTCCTTGAACACTACCTCCGGAAAAACAAGCAGACTATGAAACAGTCCAGGATCTAAAGGAAACATTCCTGAATGTTCCTGCAAAAAGCTAGGGCTGTTCCTAACAAACTGCATCAAGGAGCTGAAGAACCCTAACTTATTGTGCATATAGAATCACAGAATCATTTAGGTTGGAAAAGATCTTTAAGATCATGGAGTCCAACCGTTAACCCAGCACTGCCAAATCCACCACTAAACCATGTCCCTGAGCACCTTGTCCACGTGTCTCTGAAACACCTCGCAGGATGGTGACTCAACCACTGCCCTGGGCAGCCCCTTCCAATGCCTGACAGCCCTTTCCAGGAAGAATTTTTCCCTAATATCCAACCTAAACATCCCCTAGCGCAACTTGAGGCCGTTTCCTCTTGTCCCATCCCTGGTCACTTGGCAGAAGAGACCAACCACCCTCTCTGCACCCCCCTTTCAGGGAGCTGTACGGAGTGATAAGGTCTCCCTGAGCTTCCGCTTCTGCAGGCTGAACCCCCCCAGCTCCTTCAGCCGCTCTTCACAGGAACTGTGCTCCAGACCCTCACCCAGCTCCATTGCCCTTCTCCTGACATGCTCCAGCACCTCAATGTCCTTGTAGTGAAGGGCCTAAAATAGATACTACACATGGCCATGCCTAGGAAGAGGCAGGCAGGAAGCACCTCCCCACTCCTCACCTGTTAGTGATCGCAATATCCCGGTCCCTCATCGCATACAGCAGCGTGGCTATGCAGTAAAGCGCCTCGGTCACATCCACAACAGAGAGGGTAGAGCAGGATCTCTGCAGACACACCATCAGGTTTTGGATGTCACTGACGCCGTCAGAGAAAAGCACCATGACTGTGATTATGGCCCACATGTTCTCAGGCTGGTATAGGGAACAACGAGGAAGAGTGAGCAAAAAGCTTTGAGCCTTTAGGAGCAGGGAAACCCTGCTTCAACACTGAAAAACCAATTAGGTGACGATGAATAGTTAAATCTTCTTCAGTCACCCTGGATAGTACCAAATAACACTCCAAAGGGAAAACTTTAGACGCAGGAGGGCAGATACGACGTTAAAGCACCAGCAGTTGTTAAATCTTTTAAATAAACCAATTAATAGCCATTAAACCAACCTCCATCCTGCTCTGTAAATGCGGCAGTTTGTTGGCAACACAGAGTTCAGCCTTTGAGAAGAGGTGATGACTCTTCAAACACCGGAGAACTGCACTGGGATCCACTTTCCGGCCAGTGGATATGGCAGACACGCACCTATGAGGAACAGGGCCAGCAGCATTTGCAAAGATGCCTTTTCAAGTGAGTTTATTCTCCAAGTAAATAACGTCTTCTCCAAAGTACCGTCAGGCTGCAGTTAAGTGTAACTATACCTTGCTGTGTGCCCCACGGATTTCATAAAATCACACAATGGTTTGGGTTGGAAGGGACCTTAAAGACCATCTAGTTCCAACCCCCCTGCCATGGGCAGGGACACCTTCCATAGACCAGGTTGCTCCAAATCTTATCCAGCCTGCAAGTTCATTCTGGCTGTCTCAAAGTTTCCTTCCAGATCTACCTTGCTCAACCCAGTTTGACTCTTCGCCTTGCACCATTTAACTATCATACAAAATTGCTTTCCAGACTACAGAGATCTGAACATGGCACTTGCTTTTATCAGGGACCTATCTTTAGCTTAGGCTTGCTGATGAGCTGTGACTGATAAGTCAGTGTGGGTCCAGAAAGGCAGCTGTTCAGGAAAGGAAAAGAAGAAAATACATTGGAGATGGGAGGGACCAGGAAGAAAAGCTCACACCCTCTATAAGATATTTGCATTTTAGCTAAATTCAGGAGATGCTGAGCCTCTCTGCGATCCTGGCTGTCAGGAGGTGGAACAGCAGTGCTGACATGACAGACCCTGAAACATAAAGGGATGCTAAAAGGGATGCTTAAACTGAGTCTCACTCTCTCCAGCACAGTCGCCCTGCAGAAAGCAACCATATAACATTTTCTCCCAAACTTGTTGTTGGGTGCCAGAATGCAGCAAGTGACAGGACAGCCCAGACTTCTTTGATTTTGTCATCTAATGCTTGTCCTGAAGCTCCGTGAAGCTTCTCTCTGTTGCTGATTCTAACCTGGCTGTGCTCTGACATACAGGTCCATCACTGAAACCTTCCTTTGAGCCTCCAAATCCAGCCTGTGGAAAGCTTGCAGCTGCTTCCTGACATCCTCTTGCTCAGGCTCTCCACCACTAAGACTGTTCTTCTGTCCCCTCTTCCCAGTCCATGCTCAGCTTCTCCATCTCCTCAGACATTAGTACAAGGCTATCCCTGCCTTTGCAGCCCGTCCCTCACTTATCCACCACTTCTCACTACCAAAATCAGGGACACTGCAGAAGGGACTTTGGCAGCCATGCACTCAGAGCAGGGATGACATCCCAGTTTGGTCGTTTGCCCAGCTGAGGTCTGAGCACCTCCAAGAATGGAGATTCCCCACTTCTCTGGGACAGCATTTGACTACTCTCCAAACATCTAACCGGGTTTCCTCTGCTGTAACTTGTGGCCTTTTGTCCTCTGCACCTGCCAAAAGAGTTTGGTATCATGCTCTCTATAGCCCCTCATTAGGCAGGGGAAGAAGCAATTAGATCCCCTTTCCACCTTCTCTCCTCCAGATTTCATCCTCTACTTGTACATCATGTTCTCCTGACAATGAAGAGGAGGAAAGGGAAGGTTTTTTACCTATTTCTAGAACACTATTAGTGATATCTACTGTTCCTTCCTCATCTTCCTGTACGTCTCCCACCTGTTTAGAAGACAAACCCATTTCTCTCCTGGCAAGTCACAGGATAGAATGGAAGAGGACCCAAAGCAAGGAAAGTCTCGGGATCTACAGGTACAAAGTCAAGTGCTGTAGTGGACTCACCTGATCAGCCCCAACACACATTCCTCCTGCTCCTTCATTATGGCGAAATCCCGCAAGAGCTGTTCAACTCTGCGCAGGGCCGTGTCCTCCTTCATTACGTACCGATGGTACAGCTTTTTCCAAGGAATGAACTAGAATGTGAAGCACATACCACCATCTTTCATCTCACAGCACTGAAAAATAGGTTTCTTCTGGCAATAAGCTAATCAACATGACTTTCAAAGAAGACCTGGAGCTCAAAAAGTCCCTGCAGCTTGATGGAAACAGGTACCTAGCATGAAATGGGGAAGGACAGAGGAAACAGCAAAAAAACTTGTTCCTCATAGCCTGCAAAAATGTCTATAACAAGCTCTTCTTTCTAGAATGATGGGAACAGGGTGATGCTGGTTCAGTTTCAAACATCAAAGCATTAAAGGAATGAGGGTATTTCAGATCTATTGCACAGATCTTCTCTGAGGGGAGTCTGAGTGCTTAAAATCCCTGTGTCCATGAAGCCCTACCCTCCCACAGCCCGCTGTTTGGACTTGTGTGGTAAAAACAGGCAGGGTGCTGCCTTTTAGTCTGTGGTATGGAGTGAAGAAGAAGTTTGGGAGAGGACCAAGTGCTCGATGCATGCATTTTCTATGCATCTCTCCAGGTCTTTAGGCTCAAAGCAGGCACACTGTGCTGAGAAAGTGCCGGGCGCAGGACACCTCCTGCGTTGTGCCCAGCCTTACCAATCCAAATTTATCAGAAGAGCATGAGCAAGAATCATAGAATCATGGGATGGTTTGGGTTGGAAGGGACCTTAAAGATCATCCAGTTCCAACCCCCCTGCCATGGGCAGGGACACCTTCCATAGCCCAGGGTGCTCCAAGCCTCATCCAGCCTGGCCTTGGACACTCCCAAGGATGGGGCATCCACAGCTTCTCTGTGGTGTGATCAGCCTTCTATCGCTCTTGAAACAGCCTCTTTGTACAATCACAGCTTCTCTGTGGTGTGATCAGCTTCCTGTCACTCTTGAAACGGCCCCTTGGTACAAGCTGAGGATTTGCTGTGAGTGGTGCTAGCTGACTCCAAGCCACCTTTAACTGAAATGCAGAGATCCTCGCTGCAGTCAAAACAACTGCCAGTGGGTTCACGACTGTTTGTACTGTGAGGGACTTGACTGCAGATGAACCAAGCTCCATAAAAACAGAGTTAAAGGCCTTGCCTCTAAACCTGTTTGACTACAAGAGACACCACACACACAGAGGCTGGTGGACAGTGACGTACACTGGTCATGAGAGGACACTGTCCAGTCTGGTAACCAGAATTTCCTGCATGATCCCTGTCAGAAAAAAAAGGCTGCAAGGAAAACAGTGAAGGGGGATTTTGTGGAGTCTTACAGGTTTCTCTCTGTCCATGTATGGGAAGAATGCATCGAGGGAAATTACCCTAATGTTGATCTCCTGATGCCACTGTGGTCCTGAAGACCAAAAAATAACAAAAATAAAAATCTCCTAAGAAAGGATGTGGGAAAGGAACAAGGAGACAGACGCAGCACGGATGCTCCCACAGCAATACATGCAGCCACAAGACCGAGACGGGACACAGCAGCAGGATAAAGGACAGGATGACATCAATACCACAGCAGTCCTTACCAGTGGATCACTGACTATCTCCCTCCAGCAGTGACACACCAGGCTCACGCTCTGATACAGATCAGTCACTGGCAGGAAAGCAAAGATGTTCCTCACAACTTCAACAGGCAGGTCGTTGATACTCCCCTGAGGCAATTCCCAGTTCGGAGTCCCCAGGAGTCCGTAATGTGCATCAGGGACTGGTTCGATTTCCATGTCATCAAGTTCCTGCTTGATCTGGCTGTGTCCTGGAGGAACCACCATTGGCTTCTTCTCAGGCTCACCCCACAAATCGTGCTCTGGCTTGGGCACCCCTCCAGCTGCAGTAGACAAAGGCCGTTTTCTGGAGCTTTCCCTGGGAGCTGGTACAAGGTCCTCATCCTCCAGAAAGGAGCAGGAATCACCACTGATCTCCTGCACGGTGGAGACACCACTGAAGGAATCATCCGGTTCCATGAAGATGGGATCCAGTAGCTCTTCTTTGATTCTACTATTCTTGATCCCACTGGCACCTATTTGCTGTCTCCGAGAGACCCCGAAGTAATCGGCAATGTTCTGCTGCTGCCCTTGGCCTGCAGAAAGAGGAGGAGCGTGAGTGAAGTCAACACACAAGCGCAAAGCGCACTGCTCCTAACTGAGCTAACAAGGAGACCAGAGGTTGTGTAACGTGGTAGTTATTTCCACAGGGTTCCTAGACATAGGAGCTTAGTACATGTGAACTGTCCTGCTCCATATTGCTTTTCTGCCAACCTACGTAAGTCAACGGAACAACGTTCACCTCTTCGCATTGTTCACATAATCTGGGCTCTCTCAAGGTATGTCTGACACCTCTGCTAGCTTCTAGAAAGACACGGTGTGCATAACAACCTCTCAGATCAACAATCCTCAGCTAAAGTAACACAGCAGATGTGTGTTACAGAATGAATTTCACAGGAGAGATCTCCATGAGCCAAAGAAACAGAAATAGGAAGAAAACAAAATGCTAGACTTCAGTTGTGGTGTGCCTCAGCCTGAGGTTGGGCTCCCCATGGCCATTTATTGTCCTTAATCCAGTGAACGAGACGCACACAAAGATTTTAGAAAAGCTTCGGGGTTTAACCACTGCTCTGCACCATGAGAAGGTGACAGCACCAAGCCTCCAGGAGGCTGCTCCTACCACAGTACAAGAGAGACCAGTGCCTTTAAGAGTATAAACAGCCCGATACTTCCTTTTTGCAACGTCAAAAAACACTGAAGACCATAAAGGAAAACGAAACTTGGCAAGAGACAGCTCTCGGCAGCCCCTCCTTTCCCCGAGAGCCAGGCAGTTCATGTAGCACACAGACTCAGCTTACCAGCATTGATTGTATTCACTCTGTCCTGCTCCTGTTCTGCAAAATATCCTGATGCTCAGCTAAGAGGCATCTCGAGAAGAAAAAAATATCACCAACAGCTACTGCTGGTGTTAATGCATTTTATTTCTGGCTGCTCACGAAGGCATAGCTTAAAGAGGTCTGATTTGCAAGATGATGCTTAAAAACAGCTCCCCTGCATACGTCAGAGTTCAATACCCTAAAACCTGGGGCATCTAAGATGACTAGATTTTTAAAAGTGAGCTAGCCAAAGATATCACCGATGTGAAAACGGAAAAACCTGCCTACGAGCACAGAGTCCAGGATTCTGGCACCTGGTCCTGGCTCACCAGCAGACGTTCTCTGTGAAGTGAGTCAGCTCACACCAAGCTACAGAGAGATTCCCAAGCCTCCCACAGAAACACTGAAATGCTCCTAAGTCTCACTTTCCACTCAGGAATAACTCAGGATGCTTTTCCCTTGTTTTCTACCTATCTCCTTGCCCACACGTGTGTGAAGCACCTCTTGTCATTATAAAGATTTTGAGGTTGGGCCTTTAACCCTGCACCATGACGTATTTGAAAACAAGTCACGACCTATTTGACACCCAGGTCAGTGCAGAAAGGCAGGAGCAGGTGCCTGGAGCAGAGGTGTCCCTGCAGCCTGTAGGGAGAGGGCAGGCTGTGCCCCTGCCCCCATGGAGGGTCAAGGGGGCAGAGACCCGCCTGCAGCCCAGGGAAGGCCCCATGCCAGAGCAGGCAGCTGCAACCAAAGAAACCCTTGACTCTGTGGGAAGCCTGTGCTGGGCCATAACCCCCATTCCTCATCCCCCTGCCTCCTCCTGTGGTGGGGAGGTAGAGAAATCGTGAGCAAAGCCAAGCCCGGGAAGAAAGGAGGGGTGGTGAGAAGTTGTTTTAAGATCTGGGTTTATCTCTCATTGTCCTACTCTGATTTGATTGGTAACAAACTAAATTGATTTTTCTCCAAGTGAAGTCTGTTTTTCCCGTGACCATAACAGGTGAGTGATCCCTCCCTGTCCTTGTCTCAACCCACCAGCCTTTCCTTATATTTTCTCCTCTGCATCCCACTGCGGGGAGGAGTGAGCGAGCAGCTTCATGCCTGGCTGCCAGCTGGGCCTAAACCACAACAATCATTAATACCTGTTAAGTGCTCAACAACACTTTTGCAGTCCTGTATAACTAGACAGCTCATTATTATTTAATCATTATGCGAAAGAGCATCTAGAAGCAGGAGTCGCATCATTAATAGTGCCTAATTGCAGGGCCTGTAGTGTTCCTCAGGGAGAGCTGCACTCTCCACGTAGTCTCCAACAGCTCAGGGACAAAGGCACTGCGAGTGTGAGGAGAGACTAAACGAAGGCAAACTTCGTTTAGGGAAGTATTTTGAACATATCTCTTTTTCTTGTGACCTGATTGAGGTTGATTGTTGATGTTGATTGAGGTTGCCTGTGCCAACAAGGTCAACAAGGCCAAGGGCAAAGTCC